CTTCCGATTCTACCCTATCCTCGCCCCTATCTTTCTCACTTCACGGAAAAACTAGTCGAGCATCCCCGCTTGCACATCCTCGACCTTATCCTCTCGAGACTCCTCAAGTTGTCTCGAATCCTTATCGCAGATAACTGCGATAAGGATTCGACTGCGTCGTTTGCTGCTCCTCGTCGGCCAATTATTTTCACTAATTAACGAGAAATGCTGACGATTATACGGCTTTAATTCCGAAAAGACGCTACTATCTTTTCAAAAATATATTTTCTCAATCCTTCATATAGGATCGCATCGAGAGAATTGATGATAAAACTTGTAAAACTTTATCTCCAAAAGTTTGATATTTTTTGAAAATAAGAGATATTCCTCTTTCTAAAACAAAAAAATATTTTTTTATTCTTTCGCTTGAGAGAATTTTTATATACACTTTAAAACCTTCTTAATAAAAAAAATATTATGTTATTGCGAAAGATGCGATAAAGGTATTACCGACATGATTTTTAAAGTAAGACGATATTCGTGTCGCTAACCCATCTATGAGGCTGGTTGAGAAGATAAGCAGTTATCTCGGCGGTAGAAATTGCTTTTGGTTTTATCACGCAGTTGCGATTGATATAGATTGATCATCCTGACCCTCTCGTGGGGTAGATAAATCATTCTCGGGGAAGATAGGGTTGAACGATGAGCGTGACTGGTCGCCGAGAAATCTCCAAATGCGCCGCGCTCCGAACAACTTCCGTTATTTTCAGTTCGCACTTACAGACAAGCGTAATTTTAGTTTTGATTCCATTTTATTTAGAACATTATTCTATATTCTCTCCGCTTGTGGTCCTTTTAATTCGAATCTTTTTCTAATTATTATTTTAATTATTCTAATGTATATTTTTATTATTATTCCATTTTTATATTAACTTTATCAATTTTTAGCAAATTTATTATTTCTTAATAATTTCATCTATTCTATTTATGAGTCTACACATACATGTACAATGTGTGTAACATTATCATCATACATAAGCGTAAGAACGTTCGAAAACAATGTAATCACTTTCTGAATGCACTTTGCAAAGTGAATCGTAAAGCACGATCTGATCTCCCAGCTACGATGTGATCCCCCGGTAGGGTTTCAACTCTCGTGATCCTCTGTTCGAGAACAGGCGCCTTTGTGAACGTCAACATACTTTGACAAGTTCGAAAAGTCGCCGATGTACACCGGCCGATCTACTTCCGTAACTTTGCCGTATCCTCGTCCCCGGAGTACTTTTGGAGGGAGCGAAACAAAAAAACCGGTTTGACCGCTTTAAATCACCGAAGAGGATCGAAAAGTTTTCCCAAACACGCGCCATCGCATTTAACGATACACGACGTTGAGATAAAAACACTTGGCACGATAACATGCTCGACAAGACTTTCGAAAGAACAGCTGATCTTTAATACTTCGATACATTTCGCGTAATTTTCGAAATAATATTTATTAGATTAATGTTAATTATATAAACAATTTATTTATTTTAATTATTATTTATTTATTATTATTTTAATTAATATTTATTTATTTATTTATATGTATATTATATATATTTATATTATTTGAAAAAATTGGCAATTTTTTCAAATGATTTAAAATTATACATACAAATTTAAAGAAGTATGTGTGCGTTTGCGTATGCTTACATTGTATATTGTTTCAGATTTTTATTAAAAAATTTAAGAATATAAAATATAAAATCCGTAGCATTATATATATGTCGAAAAGAAAAAAAGATATAGAAATACAGATGAAGGGAGAGATCGATTGGTGAAATTCTCTTGTATTTTACGAGTAAATAATCTTTCGAGAAATTTTACCAGCAAATGACTGATTTGCGAGATATATGAAATCGATTTTCAATCATCTAGCATGGTTGTTTAAGGAACACGTTTCTAAACTCCCCTTCTATCGCCCCCTCCGGATAGGGATGCGACGATGCTTCTGACAAATGGCTCTGTTTACAATGCGTCTAACCGAGCGATCGGGCACCCTCGGTTAGAAACGTATAATAGAATACCGTCTCACGTGTCGAGATAAGCCCCTTTGCCCCTCTCCTCTCTCTCTCCAAGCCTTCGATAACTTCCAGACCGTTTCCACTCCTTCCGCGATTCCTAGCGCAAACATCCGCTCGAAAGGGATGATCGATCCGCCTCCACGTGAGACGTCAACCTGCACGTGCAGGCCAAAGTTATAATTCGCACCCTTTATCCAACAATAGGTCATTCTCTTTCCTATCACTAACGGAAATTGTCATGAATAGCGCAAGAGACATTTACATACAAGATATCCCGAAACTAACAGATGTAATTATATGTTTCAGCATATATTATTTAATGATTTTAACAGAGAAGGATCCAAATTAGAGCATCTCCAAAATTCATTTAAAAATTCACATTTTCGTTAATTTTAAAATATAATTTAAAAATAAATACGAAAATGTCACGTAGAAATTTCTTTAAGCTAATAAAAAATATAAAACAATTTTAAAAAGACGCGATAAAAATATGCAAGGATGTACCTCATTTTCACGCAATTATATTTCCAACTATGTAATAAAACTTCCAATTATATAATAAAAGATTAAAATCGAAAAACCACGGATTCTAATACCGTTAGATCGAATTTCGAGATACGATGTAGTACTTAAATAGGTATCGATTACAAGAGATGTATACGAACCTGTTCTGTTGTTCGTCGACAGTGACGGACGGGAGGGTTGCTGGTCTTCGACAAGGGGGTTGCTCGCCCTCGGGTCGTGCTCACCGGTCCTCGAACCGCTCGAGAGCGGCTAGCCGATCCTCCTTTGATCCCTTCGCTAGTCCCGGAACGAGCCCTATGCCCGACTCGCCCGTACTACGCATGCCAGAGATTCTGCAACAACCAGAAGGCATCCTCGTCATTCCGATGTCCGCTTTGCACGCGTATCTTAATATTTAATGTACAGAGCGTTTAAGGGGCAATAGATTTTTCTTCGTCGAAATATCAATTATTTTTCAATACTCGGTGCAAAAATCGAAGAGCAAAATTCGCAAATTAAATTTCAAACATGAGCAAATAGATAACAGAACGATTTTTGATACTTTTAAAAATACATATGAATAATAATATCATAGTGTAATAAATAATCAGTGTGAATAATAGTATCAATTAGAGAATTCTTACTTTTATTTAATATTCTAATCATTTCTTTCCAGAAAAAACTATTTTTTATAAAAGCTCCTCTATTATCCTACATTATACCCTGCTAGAAATTTGTTTTGATATTTAGAGAATTTAGTTCAAAGCATTAAATAAATGTATTTGTCTTTCAAGTTTCTCTTGTTCTCATTTCTCTTTTCTCCTTGCTGGGCGCATCCTATACGTCTCTAAGAACTCGAGGAAGCGTAAGGGTAAAGGAGAGGTCGGGGTTAAGAATTTCACTAAATGACGTAACTTTTATCGGCGAACATCGCGACTTTGCAAACTGTGCTGTTGCGAGAAGCCGACGCCGACGATAAGGACGACGATGAGAACGACGAGGACGACGGGGATGGCGCTTTTCGTCTTGATGACGAGAAGGTACGATGCCGGAGGTACGAAGTCGTTTAAAGTTAGACGAGACTTTGACGGCCGCGCACCTCCTCCTTCAAATTGACCCGGAGATAGTGGTGGATGGTAAAAAAAATGAAAAAATATGGTAACCATAAAGTATTCCGGGAAAAAAAAAAGACGGGAAATGAAGATGTAACTCCGCGGAAACAAATATTCCTAAAATCCAGCGTTTGATTAAAACAGGAAACTTTTTCGTTTTTTCAAAAAAAAAGTTTTAAAAATTTCAATTTTAAGTTCAGTATAAACAAATGTGGAAAATTTTTTAAACTTTTTGTTTTTCGTTCAAAACATTAAAAAACGTGATGAAAGATAAAATATAGAGAGAGAATACATATTTTATAAACATAAAATGTTGAATCGCAGAATCGGAGAATAAATTGTACGATAAGTGTAAGTCTATATAATAACAAAGTAAAAAGACTTACAATTACATAAAATATTTTTCCCGTACAAATAGTACAAAAATATTTCGATTTGCTTAGAAAGAAATATATTTTACAAAAATAGTGAAATAAAAGTAACTTCGTAACAATTTCATGATAACGTTATAGAAATAATGTAAAAAAATACAAAAATATTGTGTACTCGTTTCCATAAAAAATTTTAGGCAAATATGTAAATATAATAAACTGGTAAAAGGTAAAACTTTTCAATAATGTCTGAATATTCGAAAATGTTCAAAAATAAAAACAGACCGAATATGTGCAGGAAGTCCGGTTCATTCTGCATTTTAAGTAAAAGAATAAATGTAAAAGAGAATTTATAATAAATATACTTTGAAGAAATTAATCCAAAAAATTATAAAGAATAATTATCTTTTATGCTTTATATTCTTATTATAATAAATTACAAAATTAATAATGTTTTATACACGCGCGCAAATACAATAACAAAAAATTTATATATTTCGTGCACGAATTACATTTCAAAATTATACCAATACCTCTTATCTGTCAGTCTAAAAAGGGAATTGATGGCATACGAAGAAATTCGTTTCTACTTCAACTTTGCTCATCGTAAGGAAACATGACGCGCGATTTCTCGTTTCTGACACAGTCCAATATGGTCACGGTGCACGAAAGTTTTAGAATTTTAAACGAAAATACACCTCGCTACATGCTCGCAGCATTACAGAAACAACTGAGAAGACAAAACGGACTTCGGAAGACGGCGATGGCCAAAGTGTCGGGATCTGCCCCAAAAAGAAGAACGACTAACTTCCCTGTGAGGGACTACGGTATGTCGACTACGAATCCGCGAATCAAACTTTTTAATGGAAAAGCCGACTCGCCGGAATTATTTTTCGGGAACAGAGACGTCCTGGGCTTTCCCATCCACTTTGCTCGCCCTTCCGGCCGACAAGAACGGGAGGTGATTTACATCGGGGGTAGTTGTCGTACCCCCTCTTCTCCCTCGTCCCTCACCGGCACCGGGAATATTACCCCTGCAGGATGCGCCCGTGAATCATTATGAAATATCTTCGGATAGCTTGGGAAACTCGCGACCTCAATGCCATTAGCGGCGGGGAATTTAGAGAAATTTGGAAGAAGGAGTGAAAAAACCGGAACAATTTTTAAGAATCCTTTCCCCTTTCCGTACCGCGTGTCGCGCTATCCGACTCTGATTATCGATAAAATGCTGTTTCTTGTCTAGCCACTTTAGAAGTCACATATCTGATTAAAATCCTTTTTTTAATAAATGTCACATTATCTTTTTAAAAAGTGAATAAACTACTTCGCTGCTCTGGCTATCTCTGCTAAAAATTAATCGCAAAGTTTATTATTCTTTATATTTGATCAAGCTCTAAACAAATTTCTTTATTACTTTAATTTCTTTTTATTTTTAACAATAACTAATATAAAATGCATTTTCTCTCTTGTGAAGATATACAATATTTGTGTGTCCTTTTATGTTGCTATATATCCTGGTAAAATTATTATACACAAATACACTCGGGAGCGAGAGAATCAGAAGATTATTATTAATACTTCTTAAAAGAATAAGCAATGCACGGTTCTTATTCTTTTAATATAACATCACAGTGATAAAATGATAATATAACTAATCATTAATACTATATTAATTTCTTATAAACATCTTTGATTATCAAAAGAAATTAATAGCACGAAAGGGAAGGAGAAATGCAATAGATTGCAATGTAGAGTTGGAGGACTCTTTTCGCCGACGTTTTAATTTAAGGACGAAAAGGAGCAGAACAACAAGAGGGGGGAGCAAAATGGATCGGGCATTTGAGAAATATAGGCATTCGCGCTGATATGTGTATGTGTGTGTATGTATGCATTATGGGCCTGTGTGGGTGCACGTGAACTTAGATGACGCGTGCGTGTGTATCGAAGTGTATATATCGATTTCGCGAAAAGGGGTCACCGCCGCACTACTTTACAGCATACTAAATCAATTCTTCCGTGCGCATCGGCCGTTGTTATACTTTCTTAAAGTTGCGAACATGATGCCGCGGAAAAGCGCAATCGCGAGTCATTGAACGCGTTTGTCCCCTCTGCCACCCCCTTCTGCCCGTCCTCAATTAATTCGCGCATTTTGATTATCCACATGTCTACCCTTCCAATTTTTTATACTTCAGAAATATTACCCCTTACCCCTCCTTTCATATTGCTATTTATTTTTCAATTCATCGGTAAAAAAAAAAAAATATATATATATATATATATATTTTTTTAAAAGCCGATGTTTTTTACTTATTTTTCATAATAATCTTAGTTATAATGAATTTAAAAGCCTAAGCTTAATAATATTTGTATTGTGATTTAGATATCTGGGCGATTTGCCCGATGATCGTAAAAATATCCCATCTATTTACTCTGTACACATGTCGGTCGTTATTTACCTTTCAAGATGTCTTTGCCTTCAATAATCTTTATTTGCATTTGCATATTTTATCATGCAAAAAAAGATATTTGCTTTAAATTTAGTTTAAATATCTTGACGTTATCTTAAAAATACAATGCTAAATCTATACTTTTTTTATATGCTTTTTTGCGAAAGAGAATCAAGACTCTCACTTACATTGAAATTCTGCAAATGGAATACTAACTTTATGGAGGTGGTAGATCAGCCGCGATAAAAGCACGTTCTGTTTGTGACTGTCGCGAAACTTTCCGGATTTCGGCTGAGCAGCGAAAAATTTCCCCGGATCCCAGAAGAGGATGCTCAAAATTTATGCCCCCTTCCCCCTTCCTCTGCCTCTGCCTCTCGCGCCAAGCGCCGGCGATTAATTTCAAGCTCTCGCTTTTCAGGAACGCATTTCGGATGCGCCTCTCTAATGGCGCCACAAATCACCACCGTAATGATCCCGATGCTAAAAGAAGCACGATCATCGCCACTTCCGTCTCTTTTCTCCCATCTCTCTCCTCCCCCGTTTACAGTTCGATCGGAGAATCATCCCATCAGTTATCGATTTCAATTGAAATATTGTCTATACAGAGTCCATCTAAAAAAAAAAAGATTTAAATTGTAATATCAAATTCTTTAGCCAACCTAGTCAATTTTTTCTTTAGGAAAAATTTCGGAAACAAATTTATTGTAATTTTTAAATATTCTATCTTAGATATATCTCGGTAAATAAACTTGAAATTAAAATATTTAAAAAATGATACCTTCTTAAATTTATATAAAAATTTAATTATTTATAATAATCAGAGCATTTTATGTTTTTCATTTTATTTTTATCGCTCATAGCTAAAAAAATTATCTATTTGCAGGATATATTGCACAGATTTATTAAAAAGATTGTATCACGTAATTATTATTACTCTTTATTCTCTTTATATGCGTGTATTATAAACAATATTAAATTTATCTTAAATTTTATATACGGTTAATCTCTTCTATTAAGTCTAATTAATCTTTTTTGATGCATCGACGCTTTTAGGAATAATAAAGATAGTTAATGGTATCGTTTCGCGCACGATTTAACATACACACATATAAATTTGCCTTTAATATCATATTTATATGCTCCCCATATGCTAATTATTATTAAGTAGACCGGGAAGTCTATTGATTAATTACTTATAATTAATAAAATAAATATCGAGGAGCACAAACACACATATACACACACACACACACACACACACAGATAATAATGAGACTCCGGTGGGAATTATGCGATAATTAGTTCCACTATATGAGATCGCTATTTTGGAGGAAGTATTATTCGCTCATTATAAACCTTAACACAGTTTATCCTGTTATGTTTAATTTCTGCTTTTATTGCAAATTACACCAGTTTACATTTTCTTCCGTCTAATTAAGTTCCTTTTACATTTGCGTCGAGTGGTGTTTATTCTATCCATATTACCTAGAAAAAAATATATAATAAAAAAAACAGAAAATGTCTAAAAATTTTGTTTTCTGGTATTTTCTTAAAATTGAAGTGGCAAAATTGCCAAATACATGGGCATTTTTTAAAAAAAGGATTCTCTCCTCTGAAATCGACCCTTTGTGGATTTCCTCCGAAAGACGATTTCTTTCTCCGTCACGCTTATCCATCAGTGAGGGGGCAGGGGAAGAGGAAGAACGCAGAAACGGGTGCGATGACGTGTGCATCGCGGGCGGTTTTCATTTTGCGAACTGAATATGATTTGCCGTACGAACGAGCATGTAGGTTAGCGCTTTCCCGAGGCTTTATATACCAGTGCATGGGGGTGAGAGATGGGACTGCAGGTTGTGCCACCGTTCCTGACCCTCCTTCGACCATGCTCTTTCGCTCCCGCCACGCTACCCTCATCCCTTCCTGACATCTTCCCGAGGGAAATGCTAAAACTTAAGTTGCTGTTTATTTCGTAACACAGTACTGCCGTTCTCGCACTTTTTGGTGCAAAATTCGTGACTACTTTAGTTATTATTTCCGATGCCTTAAAGTTGCGTTAAATGAGGTGTGTATCGTTAAGAGACTAATGTAGCAGAATTACATTAATTTGTCATTAGATTTAATTTATATTCTATATATTAAATGTTAGCATTTCTTTATTTGAGCGAATTTAAAGCAATTTTTTTTAAATATTCAAAATATATAAATTATTTCTTTGCAAAATATTGATGACATGTGTGATATCTTTAAAAAAAAGGGATATCAAATTATAAGTTGTCAAAATTTATTATTACTCTTTTAGGCAAATAAACTGTCGCAAAAAATAATGATTTTATACCCGTAATACGACAAATGTGGCTTGCAAAGATAATCACGTGCAACGTTCTTATAAAAATCTTTGTGAGAATCTTTTAAAAATTTTGCAAATAATGTCAACGTTACAATAAATTTCATGTTATTAAAATCAAACAATCTTATTATCGATACAAAATTACTATTTTATATCGTTCTCTTCATCGATATTAATAACTAAATTTTTAGATCCTTGTTTCTGCAATCGCAGACAAGAGACCCAATTTTTTATTATACTTATTGTATTAATTTTATTGGCAAAATCTTGCTTATTGTTAGATAATTTCATCGCATTATTTTTTTTTGTCAACCTTGCAGAATAATTTATTATGCAAACCGAAAATTCTCGACATTAAATATTTTATTAATCAAACGAATCAATTTTCGCGTAATATAATTGAGTTATAATTTAAAATGTAATTAATATAAAAAGACATATATTTTATGATTAATTCATTTCTATTATTATTCTTACACGAATACGATACTTTATCGACACCTATAAAATAAAGTCCTTTCTAAAATAATGCAATTTATGTTCCGCATTCTTTTGATCGGATCAATCCTCGCACTTATTTTGATAATACAAAATGGCGTGACGAAATACTCACGTCTCGCTAAACGGAGAGACCTGGCCTTTCAACGCGTAATCCTTCGAAGTGAGGAAAATCGGCAAAACACTTTCCGTAGCACTAGCAATTGATCTCACACAAACTCGTACGAAACATCTAAAACTACTTATCGGTCCATTGCCGAAATCACTCGATCTCCATCGTTCCTGGCGTACCCGACGCCTATTCAGTCTAATTCTCGGCCATGTCCTTGAAAAAACGTTACATTTGGCGACTTTCTCGGGCGCTACTCGTCGGATTCATCCACCTTCCATGAAGAACCACCATCGCTTGCCGCTCCGTGAATCCCATAGATCCTTCAGCGATCATCCCGCTCCACGAATCCTTTAATTCTCGTGAGATTCCTCTTCTCGAAAATAGACAGTATTCCTCTTTCACATCTAGAATCGTGGAGAAGGATCTACAATTTTCGTCATCACGAATTCACGCACCGCAATTCTTCTCGACAGAGAGGATATTTCTTAAGCAAGGATAATATGTGATGTTTCTCGATAGATAAACGAGTCTTCGTGAGGAACAAGAATCAGCGGTTCTCTGCGGCGAGCAGAGGACAGTTTTCAAGCAAAGGGAAACATTTTCGGCGGCACAAAAAAACTCAATTTTTTTTTTTTTAATACCAGGTTGTCTTTTCCTTGAGGAGATAAGAATTTCTCGCGATGCTGAATTTTCTAGGCTACGCAAAATGGAGTTTTCCAAAGCGATTCTCGAGCGAGTGCTATTTTGTCAAAAATAAATCTCTCATCTTTGGTGGAAGAGCCGCGATTTTTCCCAGCGAAACTAATTCTGACGCCTTCGTCGAAGATATTGGCTCGTCATGCTTTTCAACAAACGGAGAACACAGATCTACATCTTGCTTTTTTGCAGAATATTTTCATCAATAACAGCGCACGATTCTTCTTTCCCGAAGACTCCTGCAGTTTTTCTTAACATGCGAACCGTCATTTTACTTTCGGTAATTGATCATTCAATATCAGATGTAAAACGTTACTTCTGTACGAAATCCTCCTTAATAAAAAACAATCGCAAAATATTTCTTCAAGTATCACTTATTTCCCCGCTCCATCTAAGCATCCATGCCGCACCACCCTCAATGAAATCAACGCTTTTCTATTTTTATTTCCCAACGTTTCTCTTCTCCTTCGATGTACAAATCTAGCCTTTCCTATTCTTCAACGATTCCATTTAACGATTCACCACAAATGAACCGAGATCAATTATTGTCCATCAACCCTCGACGTACTCAGTCTTAAATGTCTATGTAACATTTCTCCGCTATTAACGTAGAGATCTGCCTCTCTGCCCGCATGACATCCTCCCCGATAAGTACCGCCGAAGCACAATTTACTCTTCATCAACTAATGGATCCGCGCATTTCCTCTTCCCGCATGATGTGATATCCCTCAAAAACTACACCGATCCACCCGTATTAATCCACGCACTGCTTTACTGCTTTACTGCCTAGAACCTGGACACATTTCACCTCCCTCAATAATACAGATCCACGCCGCTTCTCTCACCGCACAGAATTCCGCGACAAATCCATCCGAGCACACAATCTCTTCTATCTCGACGGATTAAATCCACGCCTCTCCACTCTACGCGATTCTTCTTGTCAAATATTAATCACTCGGCACACAACTTTTCTTCTCTTTCTCTTTCTCTCTCTCTCTCTCGAGATCCAAATCCACGTCTTTCCTGTGTGTCTGCACAAAGTTCCTTCACTAAATAGCCATATCACGTACAAAAGCTTTTCTCGCCAAAGACAGAGCACGCTTTTTCAGCCCCGTCACACGAATCTAAGGGCCTCCGGGCGACAAGCAGAGGAGGAATTCGAGCGGAAGAGACGCGGTAACCCAGTTTCCAGCGGGAGAGCCGCTCCTCCCGGCATGCAGCGCATAAAAATGGCTCCAGTCCCAAAGCGTCGGGGATGTCGCGACGTCCTAGAACGTCCCAGGGTTTTTCCCGACGAAGCGCCGAAACGTTGCCTGCTTCAGCTGATTCCTAAACAAGCGACACAGATTCTTCTCCGGAAATCACTCGCTCTACTTGATCACCGGAAAGCTCACCGTTGCAATAGCGTAATGGAGAGGAAGGGGAAGGAAGAGAGAGATAGATAGAGAAAGAGAGAGAAAAAGAGAAGGAAGAGAGATTACTCCGAAAGTCGGACGTCGTCTCCGACGAGTCGCGCGGACGTCTCGACGCTTCCGCGAGAGAATAACCTCCGCGCAGAGCCAAAATGGTGGACGGCACTCCCGAGAGCAGATTGACGTCTCACTCCGCCTGATTCGGCGCCGTTTGATCCCGTTCGGCGAACGTCAGACTTCCGGCGATCTTTCTCGTCGACCCGCACGAGTTTTCCCGTAAGATACCGCACCGCGTCGCGTAGGGAGACCTCCGTAGGGAGATCCTCGGTCCACCCTAGACGATGTACAGCCTTTCGAAATGGACTTTCCGCACCGCTTCCGCCCCGCGCGATCCCACTCGGACGCGCGCGCGCGCTTGGCAAGCGCGCGGTTGCACTTCCACGGCGACGCTCAGCGTCGAGCGCGTTCCACCTGTCCGTCGTCGGTCGCCCTCAGCGTCGTGGATGGACCCGTGGGGCAGGATAGCGTCGGCAGGATCCTCGCCGAAAGCATTCCAGGGAGGGTGGACCGCACACGCCGCGCCATCTGACGATCTCGCGGCAAATCCAACCCCTTGTCATGGCCGCCGGACCAACCCCCCCGAGTCAATAATAGGGCCAGCGAACGCGGATTCCGCGGCCGCAGCGCCTACGCGACGTCACGGATAACGGCGTCATCCTCCGGAGGATACGCAGGCCCGGACATCGCGACTCGCGCTCTGCTTAAAAGGCGTCAGACACCTCGAAGCCTTTTCCCTCGCCTCTGTCTCCGTGCGCGCCCCCGTTTCTCTCTTTTCCCTTTTTTTTTTCTCGCACGCGATCACAACGCCGGGGCCAGCCTCTCCGAGGTGTTCGGGCGACTGCGCGAGTCGCACTGAATGCACCCCCGCATGGGAACCAAGAGGGTGCGAGCGGTGACCAGGAATGTGACTAGAAATTTCGTTGTCCGAGAGAAATGCTCTGATGACAACACGCGTCTTTCTTTCCGCATTTTTTGATTTAACCCTTTTAAGAAAGTTCCGATACCGTTCGTAGGACATC